CGAATCTTCCTCAATGCTACCCATTCACGAGGTACGATCTTCTTCTTCTTCTTCTTCTTCTTCTTCTTCTTCTTCTTCTTCTTCTTCTTCTTCTTCGTCTTCTTCTTCGTCTTCTTCTTCGTCTTCTTCTTCGTCTTCTTCGATGTTCTTCGATGTTCTTCGTAAAGACCAAGAGAATTGTAAATTATTAGAGATATTGCAAAAGCATTGATATGATATTATCAATGCAAATTATTTTGCAAATTTACGTTATATTACAATAAAAGAGTAATTATTTTTTTTACAAGGAATAAATATATTTGTGTACAATTCCTTTTTTTTTTTTTTTTCTTTTTCCTTCCGGTATTGACATTTAGCAAGGAAAGTAATTTTTTTTTTTTTTTAAACAATTCAAATTTAAATACTGAAATATTTATATGACTCGTATGTCCGTCCGTGTATCTTACGTAAATTTTAATACTTTTAATGTCTGCCAAATGTTTATTAATATCTATATTTAACACACACACACACACACACATACATATACGAAATATACATATATTTATATCATACTTATTAATACAAGTTTCTTAAAAAATATATTTTACATAATTTTTGAAGAAGATCATTGAAGATATTAATATGAATATATTTATAAATATATATTCAATTAAATTTATAGATTTTTCTTTTCTTATATTAAATGATTTCACGATAGTTGATTTACACGTGCACACACACACACGCACACTTTTTTATTGTACACAGGCATACACATACGTACAGCTGATGTCACGCGTCAATCGATTTTACGAGTGATGGAAGGACCCTTCGCAGACGAATTAATATTTCAATAGATGGCAAAAACATGGACGGATCTCCGTGATCGCATGCGAGTGCGTGTGCGTATGCGTGTAAATATAATTCATTTGTCAGATGACTACCAGTCAGATGACTACCACATTTCTTTTATTTAATTTTGTAATAAAAATTAGTCCATATATATATATATATATATGTTTTAATAAAAATATAATATGTATAATTTAAAAAAAAATATATATATATATATTATATATATCTACATAAATAAAAGTGAGAGACACACAGATATACACGCACACACGAAAATATTCGAAGAGACATAGACAATCAATATATTTTTTTATCCGAGAAAGGACGATGCGTGTTCGTGAAAATCTTGAAAAGATATTGGAATCGACACGGGAAATACCACGTGATTAATTCCATTTCATCCCTTGGGAGCTTTTGTAATTGGAAAGGGTCTTGGGAACTTTCGATGAAACCAGGTGAAACCTTTACGAATCAAAGGATCCGTGATTCGGGGGCGTTGATTTTCGAAAGAGACCAATGGACGAAGACAAATTATCACTTTTCATCTTCGTTATTATCATCGACCAAATGATATTATCCTTAAAATACACATTTCGTATTAGCCTAATCATTTTATAAAGGAAATCTATGAAATTTATCTTTAACATTTCTATACATTTTTATGTAAAATTTTTTTTCAACTAATTTTATTTTTTTCATCCCTTTTTTCTTTTTCTTACGAATATGGATTTACACAAAGATGAAAAAACGAACGATTATATCATTTATATATATATATATATATATATATATATATATATATATATATATATAAATTTTTATTTTTCTCACTCTCTCTCTCTCTCTCTCTCTCTTTTTTCAATTATTATACAAATTCATAAAATTCTATCATTCTTACATTTAACTTTTTACATTAATTTCTGAGTTTACTTTCTTTTTTTTTTATATATTTTATTTTATTATAATTACAAAGATGAAGAAAATGAACTTTTATCTTACGTCTCTCTTTCTCTCTCTCTCTCTCTCTCTCTCTCTTTTCTCACCCTTGAAATCCTCTCAGCTACAATAAGAAACAAATTAGAACGTTTAACGAGAAAACATCAAAGTAACAATGCTCAAGGATCCGATCTAATATAATGTAGATATACATATATATATATATATATATATAAGTAAAAAACAGTGAAGGAATAATTGGGCCATTATGATTCGAGTATACGTTTGAAACAAAACATTAAACGCAAGCTTAATGCCAGTGGGATCGTTACAATGCTCACCCTAACTCTTCTCTACGTCCAACGTTTGTTCATTCGCGAGCAACCGAGTTTCATACTGAATGGTACCGACGTACGTTCGCATTAACTATGGTATATATCCCTCTCCCCTATCTCTCTTTTTTTCTTTCTTTCTCTCTCTCTCTCTCTCTCTCTCTCTCTCTCTCTCTCTCTCTCTCTCTCTTACTCTAGTCTCTAATAAAACGTCGCAAGTGGATCGAATCATTTGGTGAACCACCACCTGGTCGTAACTCTCTTCTTCTTTCTTTTTCTCTTTCTGTCTTTCTCTCTCTTTCTCTCTTTCTCTCTTTCTCTCTTTAACTTCACATTCGGAGATCTAAATCGGTCGAGATTAGTCGTGTTTACTCAAAGCGGCAAGTGTAGACATA